TGCTTAAGTCTGTGAAGCACTTTCTTCTGATTGGTGTAGACTTGCACAAGCTGAGTTGAGTATATAAATATAAATATATATATTCCATTTTCTCTATCTAGTTCTTTTAAGTAGGATGCATAACACATTTTTGGACCCTAGTAGGAACTGATGCATTGCAGTCCATCGATAGAATAAAGTTTATATTGGAAATGATTGAAAAGCCAAAATTTATTCTTGAGCTGATGCATAAAAGCCTGTTTATATGACTAGGTCTCTGTACAGAAGCCAGAATTGAGGAATGTTTTTATTTCCGCTCAAGAAAATGATGTTGCTTGCATCTTCATGGTATTTGAGACAATTTCTATTTACTGCCACCACCAGAGTCAGAATTGACACTAATCTTGCTTCATGGTCTTTCAGGACAATTTCAAGTTATTGCTACCATATTTTAAAGAGAAAACAACATAAACAATATGTAGTTTGACATCTTGAGATTGGAAATACATGTTTTGATGAGTTTGGTTTTACTGTTGGGATTCTTTTTGATTTTGCTGACAAGTGTACAGACAAAAGGAATGTAGGAATAGAATGATTCGTCCTTGCTTGCACGCTATGTTTTGATGGGTTTCACTGTCTCTCACTTATAATTCATTTCTGCTTCTTCGCCATCTCTCTCTCTCTCCCACATGCCTTACAGCTTTTGCTCTCTTTTATCTTGGCAGTGATTGCATCAGCCTATTGGCTTTGGTAGATTGTGTTCTGAGTCCAACTGGAAAAGTTATTGGACAACAAAATTATTGGGATGCATGCAGCACTACCTTTTCTTGTGGGCCTGCCTGCTTGCTTAGTCATATGGATGAAGAAGCCATCTAACATTCTTTCAAAAGAATTGGGAAAGGCAAACTTCTTGTTTTTATTGGTTTTTATGTTTTCAATAGGAAATAGTTTCTTAATACAGATGAAGCGATTGCCTTGATATTGTAATGAGGATTAAAGTTTACTACTCTAAATTGAAGATTTCGAGTTAAATCTTGAATTGGAAAAAAGTAATTCTATGTCTAAAAATTTTTAAATCATTAAATATTAGTGTACCTAAAAAAAAAAAAAAAAGGTAAGAAAGACTTCTTCATAGGATTATCGCAATTACAAATGTTAAGATAAAAGTAGATCTACATAATTAATAAAACTATTTGAAATGTTGAGTAGAAGGTAAAACATATGTTAAATTCATAATTTAATTCAATTAATTTAGTTAATCATTTTTAAAAGGTAATGTCTAATAATTTTAAAATTCAAATATTAAAATTTATAATCTCTTCTTTTAATTTTTTCGGATGCAGCTTCATTTATTATTTTAAGACTACAATTTCTTTTATAAAAAGTTGATAAAACATATGTAAAAAATTCCTTCTCTTTGTGCACATGGTAGGAAACCTAATACTATGCTAACCAGGCCTGGCATGACATAGGAATAATTTTCTTTGCTGAAATTTTGATTCTCAATTCTGGGTTGAATTCTTTTGCAGGCCAACAACAATGTAGGTCCCATTTCAGTAAATTCCAAAAAGTGTTGGATGATTTGATTCTTTTTATGCTGTTTCTTATTTTGCTTTTCATAATAAAGAATAGGTGCTTAGAATTTTTGAGATTATGAACTTTAACGGGCTTGTTTTCATGTTTATCTTCACAACATCGTGTACTACTACTATGCTTCCAATTTTTTTTTTCTGGTATTCCAAGTTGAAAAATATTGCTTTACCAATTGGCATAGAAATGGCTAGAAAACAGCAAAAAAGATTAAAACATGAAAACTATTCATCGGTATTTATATGTTTTAATTATAATTCGTATTGATATTTATAAAAAAAAAATTGTAGCATTTATGAGAATTCTATATTAATGAATTTTTTAAAAAACATCGTAATTATTTTAAGTTAATGTTTATAAACTTTCATTAATATAAAATTAAATTTGATAATTTAAAATATAATATAATTATACGGTACAAAATTTATACTAAAAAATATGAATGTGATATGTTTAAAATTTTAACAAAAAATTATATATGAATTTAATAAAAATAAAAAAATTTACTTTGTATTTTTTATATTATACAAATTTGATAAGTAATTTTTATATAAAATATAATATGAATATATAAATTATTAATATTTTATGCTATATAAATACAAAAATTATAAAATCTACACAAAACAAAAGTTCGATGCAACCAATGAATTAAGAAAAGGAATGAATAACCATAAACAAATGTTACCTCCACATTTTATCTACTACTTTGATATTACAGGTAAGCCAAAAACCCTGTATTTTTGGACAAAAGAAGTGTGTTCTATTAAAGGTTGATTCTTAACCAACCTCAACCGACGCCAACCTACTCAAGGGAGCATCAGATGGTTTTGGTGATCTCTCTTTTCCAACCAAATCACATGCTTCATTTTTCTGCTCACCATCCAACCGCTAACTAGGAACCCCCCTGGCAACTGTAATAGGATCTGGCCTGAAAATGGGGTCCATGGGTTCAATTTTGGTAAGCCTAACTTCAAAAATCAAAGTCCTTTCATGATTTTGGTTCAAACTCTCTTCTTTTTGGGGTTTACAATTCCTTTTTCTTGGATTAAAGTAGAAGCCTAGAATTGGCAACTTAATCACGAACAAAAATCATATGTTTTCTCACCTAATTTGAGAGACTTGATAATTTTATATATAATACAATAATGTTATCATATCATATATATATATATATCATATATCATATTATATTACAATATATATAAAAAATCAATAAGATTTGTTTATGTAAATGTCTAAGTGAATAACTTATATTATTGACATATATAATATTTTTAAATAAGTTTATTCAATCAATTATTTAATTTTTAAAAATTTTAAAGTTTCAAAATTTACATTTGTCAAAATTTTTCAAAATATATAAGATGTGTCTTAATTTAAATCTAATAAAATATATCTTCTCATACTTCACTCTTATTCAATTCAAATAGTTTTTAAAGATTAAATATTTAAATCTTAAGAATCATAAAAAATTATATACCTTCTAAATCAATATTCACATAAATTTAAATAAATAAAGTTTGTAATTGAATCATTGTTATTTATCCATTTTTTGTCTTTATTTTCCTATAATTTAAAATAAAAAATATTTTATCTCAATTTAAAATTACACATATATCTAAATTTATATACTAATCTCTTTTATCTTAATTTAAAATTAAATTTGGATAAACTACATTTTTAAAATTTTAAAATTTTTTAAAATTAAATAATTATCAAATATATTTATAATTTCTTCTCACAATCATTTTTTTTTTATAAAAGTTTGACATGGTAAAATTTTAAAATTAAATATAAAAGTCTTCCATGATATATCATATGTGTAAATCTTAATTTTTATATTAAAATAATATATACTTTTAAAAGTATATGTAATTGTGAACAATAAATTAATTTTCTCATTGATATTTGCATATAATTTTACTTTCAAAATTTAAAACTTTCATATTATTTATTTAGATTCTTTCATAATAATTTATATATAAACGGTTTTTGTAATTTGAAACTACAAATTATAAGTGATTATGAATATTTTTATTTATCTATATATAATAAAAATTAGTATAAATTAAAATTTTAAATTATTTAAAATATAATAAAAAACTTTGTGCATGGCATTGATAAAAAAATTAATATAAAAATTATACATAAATTTAATAAACATTAAAAATTAAAAATTATATTTCGTATTTAATATATAAACAAATTATGATATAATATAAAAATAATAAAAAATAATATAATTCAAAATTTTGATAAAATTATATATAAATTTGATAAAACTTAAAAAATATATTTCATATTTAATATATTAACATAAATTAAAATACAATAATTTTTATTAGTTATATATTTAATACAAAATAAATAGAATACTTAAATTATCTCTAAATTGAGATATTATTGTGTAAAGCTTTATCTAAAAGAAAAAGATTTGAATCATGTGGGATGAAATCAGTGATGGAAAAAGTTGCGTACCACAATAATTTTGGGATTTGGTTCCATTTTATAATTATAAAAGTAGTTTTACGTAGCGACAGCACATATTTTTGGTTTCAACATGTGATCAAATACTGCCAAGTGCCAAGAAATCATTTTCTTCCCATCACCCACCATAAAAATTAATGCATAATGACGTTGGTACTTGAGATTTAAAGAAAAAAAATGGAGTAATTAATTTTTATTTTTAATTTTAATAAAAATATTAATCGGATCCATCTAAAGTAGGATTGAATAAGTATATGTTTTTATGGACGTGAAAATAAAAATAAAGAATATTTAAATTTTTATAAAATAGCGAATATATTTTATTTTAATGTAATAAAATAAATTTAATATTTATTCTATCCCATTTTATATGTTTCTTTTGACTTTTTTGTCAAACAAATTAAATTTTGATTATTATTTTGAAAATTATTATATTAAATTAAAAACTTTTATAAATATATTTTGAAAATTTAAAATTCAAACTTTACAAAATTTATTTTAAAAATTTTAATTTTATGATTTTAATAAAAATGTGATCAAAATTGAATTGATTTGACAAAAAAAATCAATAGAAGACATATGAAATGGGATGTAACGAGCATTATTTTTTTATATTTTATTTATTTTTAATATAAAATGAATAGATATAAGTACGTTTCTCAGGACCAATTTAATGCGCTTCTCGGGGGTTGTACAGTAAAGAGAAAAGAGGGGGGAAAATCAAGGAGGGAAGTAAGTAGAGGCATTAAATTATCTTATCTGATACCGCCAGACACGCCATCATTTATCATCTAACGGAGTTAAGAGTGTTCCTGAAACTACAGCGTAAAGGCGCCATATAACCAAAAAATTTGATTTCTTCTAATATAATTAATTAAAAACAAAATAAAAATGAAAAAAAAGAGAGAAAGAGAGAGTTGTTTGTTTAAAAGCGATGAATGTGGGTTCTTTAATCTCCTCATTATTTCCCAAAGAATCTCTTCTCTTCTCCCTTTATTTACTTTCCTTTTCTTTTCAATATTTTGTATTTAAATATTGTTACTTTTAATATTTAATCGGATTTTATATTTCACTCGCCTCTTTTATCTCTCTCTATTGATCCCTTCAATCCATTTCTCACTCTCCCATTTTTCAGTTTTCCCGAAAAAATCTCGCATTTTCTCACCTGGAGATCCGAAATTAGTATAATGACGTAGTTTTAAGTTTTTTTTTTTTATCTCTGTCGTTTTTCTGTTTGGTTGCGGAGAAAATTCAGGGTAAAAGTAACCGGAAAGCAAGCTTGTCAGTAGATTACTCATAGATCTGCTCAGACTAAGCTTAACAGTAATTTTCTTCTCTTTCTTCCTCATTTTCCTGCATTCTATGTAGCCGAACGGAAAATCAATCAATTTGTTTTTCACATTGTCATTTACTTGAAAATCTGCTAACACGTAGCCCGTTTTGTTGCAGTAACTCATCTTTTCACATAACTTGTTCTTCTAGAGATTATTAAAATTTGCTTATAGTTTAATTTTTAATCTTTCTTTATTGCATTGCTATATAAATCTTTCTTGAATGCTAGAATACTCAAATTCTAGCAGTTAGTGAAAATTTTGAGTAGATCAGGTTTGCATCTGGATTTTTTTTTATAATTTTAATTTTATATGTTGTTTCTATTACTATTACAATTTTGAAATGTAAATGTTTATGGCTTTTGGCATTTTTTGTGTTTGTAGATTAGTTGGATTTTTGGAAATGAGTTGGAATCCATATATGGAAGTTCAATACATCAACAGTAGCTACCCTTATAATAGTGCTGGGAGCTTTATGGAATATTTCGAAGGTCTTACTTATCAACATGTCAATTTCATTTTCGATGGTGCTTCCCATGTTCAGGTACCATTTATTATCAAAATTGTGTCTTTTGAATTTACTGAAATGATTTCCTTTAAGGTCTATGCATGTTCGAGAATAATCAGTTGAAACCTATGCCCATTTTTTGGATAAGTTGATTGTAATTGATCCATTGGTGCGTTGAGGTATCTGTTTCTTAGCTTGCAAGAATGTGTGTCTCTGGGACTGGGAGTGTTTGAAGGATTTGGTTCATATCTTTTGCATGTATATTAGATGCTTTATTGTAAATGAATTGCTGCAATTTGTCACAGCCAAAAATGGATTTTCTGTCTGCAGGAGAGTGTGTACCCATCGATGACTACAAGCTTTTACAAGTTTGGATTATCTGATTCTGGAAATACTTCATATTATGACCATGGTCATAGTTACGAGGTGAGTAACTATGAACTAGGCGTTGATGAATATAGAAGGGCATCAGAGAATTCCTCATCAACGAGCAATGAACAGACTGCAGCAATAAATATGGAATGGGAAGGAAATGCAAATGCAACCTCAGGTGAAAACCCAGTAGATTGTAAGTTTTCAGTTCTGATTTGGTGTTTAGTTTCAAATTTGTTTTTGAAGTTATCAAATGTAATGATAAGAAGGTTTATGGTGATGTCTAAATTGTGACATGTTGAAATTTACAATTAGGCCAAACATTATGTCAATCACATGTTTCAACATGGTTAAACTGTTAAAATACCCTTAATAAATCACTAATAACAAGCGCTTTCCATCTCAAGATTGCTTGTGCTAACTAGTGTTGGATAATATGATGAATTAAATTTCTCCATAGGACTTTAATTTTCTATTATGATCAATGAATTGTCAAATTGTTTCGCAACTTTGTGCTTTTCCCTAGTTTTTATGATTGGATGCCTTGGTTTCTAAGAATCAAGTTCTTGACTCCCAGATTACCCAGCTTCTCTGTTTTGGTGGATTTTAAACTTTAAACCACTAATGATTGAAGACAAAATTGAGAATTCAGTGACCTTCATGGTTAGTTTGTGTTTATATTTCCTTTGATCCTAAATAAAGGGCCCAGTCTAGGAGATACAAAATTTTCAAAGCTATCCAAAAAGTCCGTTTTTCCTTGGTGATAGTTTTTGACTTTTTGCCAAGATGGACAATATAGAGTTGGCTGTCTTTTACTTTTGAGGTGTCATTTCCTCCTTTTTGATCATGAAGTAGAATGTATTCTTCTGTATCACCAGGCTGGTCTTAAAGTGATCATCAAACCTGTAATACAGCAATAACTGAGAGTTCTCAATCGCAATAAGATTGGTTTACTGGTTTCTCATCCCCCTCCCTAATGCTTCTTCAGGATCCTTCTTTAATATTTTTTCCTAGTACAAAAACCGACTTACAATGTTCTCATGAGATGTATTTTTCCTACCTGGAGGAGTTGCTGGGTTCAGCTGGTCAACTTCTTAGCTAGTATGGTTTTTAGACTAGCTGTGTTAGAATCTTGCAATACAACAGTGGTCCTGGTCCTGACTAGCACGTGCTGTATCACTGAGAAACCATGACTAAGACCTGGTCCACCACCACTCAAGCAGTCAAGGCTTATTATGTTCTCAAGCAAGTTCCTTGCCTTCATTCCCTACAGAGAGACAATTACTTTGCCACATATAGCAAGACTGATCTTGACTTGTGTCTGCTGTAGAAAAATCAAGATTAATTGACTTGAAGTTCTCAAGCCTCATCCCATTGAAATTTGAGCTTGTTTACTAAAGCTTGAATCTTGAATTTTGAGCTTTTGTTGCAATCTGAGTTCAAATACCTCTAAGTTTGGTATAGCATGGCTTTCACGCCAGCCTAGCTAACTTAATCGGTGCATCAACAGAAACAACAGCTACTTATGAGTATGCTCTCAAGTGCATGTCTTTTACCATAAGGTGCATAGTTGTTCAAAAAATTGATTGACCAAGATGAAGTTATGTGGCTTACTTGAATTAGTTTGTATGATTTGTTAAAACAGAAGTTGGTTTTGTGGTACTTTATTAATATAAAAATTCTCTAATTATGTAAATTAATCACAAAATTCACTATCATTAGTTGGATGGCACCTATTCTTACTTAAAACAATATTTATCTGGGATTTTTTGAAAAATTTTCCCCAATCCAATGCCCTTTTTTTTTTTTTTTTGACTTTATAGGTCCACGGAGACAACATAATGCTCATGATTACCAGGTCTCTCTCTCTCTCTCTCTCTCTTTTTCTTTGTTGAACACGTGCATAACTCTCTCACACACACATTGTATGGATTTTCATACCTATATATGTAAGTAGATTATTTGCATCAGCATCTTATTGTGATTTGAATCTTCTAAGTTTTTATGCTGTCTACATGTTGAGGAGTGTAAATGCTTTTTGAAGAACAAATATTAAATGCTTAAGAGTTATGGAGGCTTATATCCTAATGTTTTCAGTTTCATGGTTCAAAAATTAAATTTTGCAAAACTTTGTTAAAATATGCAGGCCATTTGGCAAGATGGTGTTGATCCTGACAACATGACTTATGAGGTTAGATACAAAATTTCCTAATTTTTTTCTTGCTTAATAGTTGTATCATTTCTTAAGTTTTTCTTGGTAGAATTTCAATTAACTCTTATTTTTAATTTGGTACAGTTCTGATTTTGATAAAAAGACAAAAATATAATGAAGTTATTGGCCAAATGTTTATTGAGATGCATTTGAAGATTAAAACCATGGCTGCAAGACCCATTAAAAAGTTATTTAGCTTTGTTGTTTTATTTGATCTTTCTATTTCTTTTTTTTTTAAAAATATATTGTGGTTAAGTAAGGCTTTGGATAACTTGACTTTTAAGACATGAGATAGATTTACTGAAATGTTGAATTAACTATGTTGATAATGCCTTTTATTAAGACAGACTATGAAGAAGTAGGTGATTAGGTTTGGAAGAATTAAGTTCAGATTGAGAAAAGAATGGGTTGTGATTTGATTGCCATGTCATTGTGGCACCTACGAAACAGGATGGAGTCAGAAGTCATTCTCCCTGTCTTAGTTGTTTGGGTTGGTGGATTCATGACAGGCAGTATATATATTTTGGGGTATAGAACATATATTGATTTTTTTTGGGGGTGGAGGGAGGCGAGGGATGAGGGTGCTAACATATTTTCAAAAACGTTTCAATTAATAGTAAATAAAGATCTATGACTATTGCCTTTTGAATGCTTATAACATCTGATAGATGCAGTTTAAATTTGAATATTAGACATTAATTTATGCAAAAGATACATTGAACCTCTTAATTTAGCTTTGAGAAAAAATTTCTTATCTATTGCAAACATTTCAATTAATAATATATAATGATCAACCAACATATTGATTTGAAAAGCACTCAGCTGCAGAACTGCTTTTATATGGTAAGAGAATTTTTTTCACTGATGAATTCTTTAGAAATTACAGGAAAAAGATTTCATACTGTGCTCTCAGTAGAGCAGTGGTAACTTAAATTAGAAAAAGGAGAAAATAAGTTAACTCGTATATGGTTATTGTTATTGGTAAAAATTAGCCAGATATAAAGTATTGGAATCACTTGACATCCTTTAAGTTCAATCAATTCTGTAGAAGGTTGGAATGCTGTCTGCTCATCATTTTTTAAAAATTTAATAGACACCTTTTTTTCCTAGTTGTCCCTGACTGACTGTGCTTCTAAGCAAAGGATTTTCTTCCCTCCAAAGGGCCTAATTTTGATCCCTTGAATTCAAAGTTTCTGGCATTATTTCAAAGTCCAGCTAGAATTACTGCATTAGTTGTCTAGGCAACATGCTACTTGTTTTAAGCCCTCCCCCCCCTCTTTTGGTTGTGCTCACTTAGAGACAGACAAGGAAGCTGTCAGGATGAGAGAATTAGGTTAAGGCCTGCTGTTCTAGCTGAAATTGTTGCTTAATTTTAAAGGGTTAAAACGCTATAGTTGAATTATTGTACCTTTTACAGTAATTCAGCAGCAAACATCCTTTGTAAGTCAATTCCTATTGGTTTTATTGAAAACAACAAATTAATATTGAATAAAACTTTATTCAGTGATTTCATACATATTTCAGACAATTTTGGTTATGTATTTGTGAATTTTTTTTTCTTGTTCTTTGTTTTGATCAATCATTGCTGTTTGTATTTATCACTGTAGGAATTACTTGAATTAGGGGAGACTGTTGGAACTCAAAGTCGAGGTCTCTCCCAAGAACTTATTTCTTTGCTCCCAGTTTCAAAATACAAGTGCAGCTTATTCTCAAGAAAGAAATCAAGGAATGAAAGGTACAGTGCGTGGTTCTACTTTTTTTCTCTGTCAAATTTGATTTCCTTTGTCACTGCTGGTCATGTTCGTCGACAGATTTTAAATTGTAATACACAACCCTAGTTTTTCTTTGTGGTCTTTTTGATGTATAATTTTGCTGGCTTCCAAGGTCTTGTTTGCATTTACTATAAATCTATGCAGATTTAAGATGTGTCCTTGGTTTCATCTTTCCATGAACCAACTCTCTCTGCCATTTTTTTTTATTGTATAATTGTTGATTCTTGTAAAAAGGCTTCAAATTGAACGTGTTTATCTTTTAGCAGTTATTCTTATATAGAGCATTGAGAAGCTTGTAAATGGTTGGGTGATTACAAAAAGTGATTTATTTGCTAGAGATAATGCCTTGAGAGTGTCTCTGAGTGTATATGCTTTCAAGAATAAACATCAAAACCAATCTAAACTCTCAAGTTGAAAGAGGTAAATAATTGGACACATTAGATTATTTGTTCTATTAACAGTTAAGACCAACTAGGAAACTAGTAAGACATTCTGGTCAGCAGACTTCAGTAGGGAGATTTGATGTATGAGTAGCAAATTCTTTAAGGCAGCCTTTAATGCCATTGTACAGAAACCTAGTAATACTAGGATGTATAGGTAGGTTCATGCCCTGTAATCTATTGATCATTGGGATTGTAGTCTTGAGTCAAGTCTTTCCACTTTCATCTTGACGGAAAAGTCCATTTACTTAATGGGGTTGTATTAAATCTGAAATGTGTTAATATATTGAAATTAATAGTGGGCATATAGATGTATAAATGTAGATAAATGGTCTGCCATTGGCAACCTCTGCAATAATAATAGTATTTTATGGAATCGCGCTTAGAATTACGTTGTAAAAGGTTATAGTGAGTCAGTGAAAAGGAAAGATAATAATTTGGAACATGACTGTTACTTCTCTTTGCTTAGCCTTTTTGTCACGGTCTTAGTGAAGAGCCATGAATCTCATATCGGTTGTGTACTAGAGTTGATTTTGGGATATAAGTGTTCATACCACATTCAATTTTTGAGGTGTTTTTTTTATGAGACAAAATCATGAGCTAAAGGGAGTTGAAACGGACAATACCTTACAAGTTGGTGTGAATTGTAATAGTTAGGCTAATCTGAGACACAGAAAAGGCCATCTTTGTGTTCTAAAGCCACATGAGCCTGGAGCTTAAGTCTCGCATTGTGACAAGTGGTATCAGAGCCAACTTTGGGGTACTAGCAATATAGCACTGAGGACCGTGGGCCTTCGTTGGAGTGGGGAGGATGTCATGAGCCTAGTGAGGAGTCATGAATCCTACATCAACTGTGTACTAGAGTTGGTCTTGGAATATAAATATTCACATCACCTTCAAGTTGTGAAGTGTCTTTTGTGAGACAAAACCATGAGGCCAAGTGGTTTGAAGTGGACAATACCTCACAAGTTGATGTGAACAGTGATATATGCTGATTTGGGATGTGGAAGAGGTCATCCCCGTGTCCTAGAGTCCTAGAATCCTGTGAGCTTGGAGCTTAAGTCTTGGCCCATGATACTTTCACCATGCACAGGTTTGCAATTTTTTTTTTTCAGAAATAATTCAGAAGGTCCGTTCTTTTGGGCTGTGGTATGCCAAACATCTAATGTCATTTGCCTTCTGAGCAGTGGATCACTGATAGTGATAGGACTGTCCACGGTGTGCATAATTCATTCTAAAATCTTCAAAATAAAGCCAGGATTGTGGATAATGCCATTGTCTTGGTTTTGTGAATGATATGCATGTCTGGCACATCGATCATATACCTGAAATTTGCAGCTTATTTTAATTTGGATTTTCCTCCCTCTCTTTCTCTCTAGACCAAGACATTGTGCTGGTGAATTTTATTATGACTATTATTATTTTGGACTAGATGTGTAATTTGCCAGATGGAATATAAAAGAGGTGAGAGGCAGATTACCCTGCCATGCAAACATGTCTACCACTCTGGATGTGGCAACCGATGGCTTAGCATCAACAAGGTAAGTCACTGAAATTTTCTTTTCTTACGTTTTTTCCTGATTGAATTTGTAACATATAATGTCCAAAAAGAAAAAAGTAACTTTAAAAGCATTTATCTTTATTTTCTAAGGCAGCATTTTAGAAGCCGCTGACTGCAGTTTTATTTCTCCAGGCTTGCCCCATTTGTTACACTGAGGTGTTCGGTGATGGATCAAAGCGTTGACAAATAATCAGGATCGAACATGAAGAAAATATTCATATGCTTTATTTTGTTTTTTTTTGGCTTGAGTTTGGGTATTTTCCCCTAATACGAAGATGTTTTATTTCGATCCTTTCCAACAGGAGAGTTTATTAGCTTTTGCAATAAATGAAAGGTATGAACATGGTAGAAAAATGGATATGTTAACTAGAAAGGCTGGAGATTGTATAGAGTTTTCAATGATGTTTTTAGTCTTCTTCCAATTGTTTTGTCTTTACTTTTTTGAAATTATCACACACTTTTAAGAAGCTAGCTAGTTAATCTCAAGACAAATAAGCTAATGAAGCTCCAAGTCTCATCCTGGGAGAAGGATGCTGAATGACAATCTTTTAAAATCTTAAATTTGTTTAGTTTGATAATTTTGCATATATATGCTAGGAAGCCAGCATTTTTTTTAAATATATGGACTAGCTGAACATTTTTATTTCAATTTCATTTTACCCCTATCAATTGAGGTTAGGGTAAATGGATTTGATAAAAATAAAAAAATATATATATAGAGTTTAATATATTGACATGAATTTGATATAATAATTTTTATATTTTATATATATTTGATATGAAATAAATATAAAATAAATACATAAATTGTTAAGTTTAGTTTAAAGTCGATATAATTTTTTATTGAGTTAATGTTATGAATGATTTTAAATTATAATGAAATATGAGTTATAAATTTATTATTTAATATGATATTTATTTTGAATTTGATTAATTTTAAATTATGTTATGTAATGAATAAATAATTTTTTAAGTATTATAGTCAATAAATTTATAGTTTAAGTGTTATATTAAAAAATTTTAAAATTCAAAAAACATGTTAAATATTTATTTTATTTATTGTAGTTCAAGACCTCGAAATATTAGCTTTTTAACCCATTTAACTTAGCAAAATACTTTTTCCATTATTCTTTTTGTACTATAGGCCGTAAGCTTTTCCTGGGCCTGAGCCAGGTAAAAGTTTGCAATTATTTTTTTTGGTACAAAGTTTGGAATTCTTTATCTTCATCTTTTTTATATGAACGCATATACCTCAATTAATATTCATTGCAATGTATCATGGTCAAAAAGTTAAATTGATAAAGATTAGTAGAGATGAGTATATATCTGTTTAAACTGATTTAATTGACCAAAACTAAAGAAATATAGTCATTTTAGTTCGATTTAATCAATTTTTTGTTATAGTCGATTTAAAGATTGGTTAAATTGGTTAAATTAGTTAGTTATCGATTTTTAAAATTGATAATCGAATTAACCGATCTTATAATAACTAAAAGATTTTTTTTATAAGGGATTATTCAAGGTATTTTTAGACAAAAATACTTGAGTAATTTCATTCAATTTTTTGTAATGTATTATTCAAGGAGATTTTAGCTAAAAATACCTCCAATAATCATATTCAATTTTTTGCAAGAGATTATTCAAGGTATTTTTGAGATAAAAATATCTTGAATAATTTTCATACAAAAATTGAAAGAAAATTATTTAAGGCGTTTTTGTCATAATTTCTTTCACTAATCCTATTCAATTTTTTATAAAGAATTATTTAAGGCTTTTTTTTTTTCAAAAAAGCTTTCAATAATTGCAAAAAAAAAGGGAGGGGACTATTGAAAGCGTTTTTGGTCAAAAACGCCATCAATAATTCCTTAAAAAAATTGAAGGGGATTAGTCAATGTATTTTTTTGTCAAAAATATCTTCAATAAGCCTATTTAATTTTTTGCAAGGAGTTATTCAAGGCATTTTCTAGATAGAAACACCTTAAATAATTTCTTCATAAAAATTGAAAAGGATTACTCAAGGTATTTTTAGCCAAAATTACCTTCAATAATCCCTTTATAAAATTGACAACGATTTGTCAAGGTATTTTTGGTTACAAACGGCTTGAATAACCTTATTAAATTTTTCGTAAGGATTATTGAAGGCGTTTTCTGGCAAAAAACACATTGAATAATCTCTTTTAATTAAAAATTAGATTATTTAAGTTACCACCATATATGTTAAGGAGATTATAATAATTATTCATGATTTAATATATGTAGATTCTCCCATCCAAATAAGTAAATATAAATACGAGATACCTTGAAAATGGAAGAAAACTTCGGTATTGCATTTTCCTGAGATTACACTTTTTTAAACTTATTGTTTAATTTATTTTGATTAACATGTTTAGATGAGTATTTATTTATCTTTTTCTTGTAAAATATTATTAAAATTATTAAATTCTTTAGTGATTTGTTTGAATGATATGTGAATTTGAGTTTTATTGGATTAAATTTGTAGCTTAATAATTATTTAAAATAAGAAAAAATAATGAAAAATTTGGTTATTTAATCAAATTAATCGAACCGAACTAATTTTTGATAGGTTCGATTAAATTGATTATTTAAAATTTTGTAAGTCGGTTTGGTTACTTGTAAAATAAAAATTAATTAATTCGATTATTAATTTTTTCAAACCGAGTCCACCGAACCGATCGACTGCTTACACCTAGGGATTAGAGTTCAAAATAATCTTTAAAATTAAACCCGAAGAACACCAACCAAAATTTGCACGTACTCATAAGCTTTCATTATTTTCCTATTGTCAATTAACTAACAAGTGCAATAAAACCATATCTACTGCCAAATGCGTTAAAATTAGTAACTGGAATCGTCTTTGCTTATGTAGTTTTATGACAGTTTTGCATTAAAATTAAATAAAAAAAAGGGTATAGTTGACTCCTCTATTTCTCTGAACATATTTGGTAGTTTTAGACATATCATGATAATATATAAAAATGGTACAAAAAATATTTGAAAGTAATATGATTTAAAATTTTAATAAATCATATATATTTGATAAAAATAAAAAATTATATAATTTGTATTTGATATATTAATATAAATTGTGATACTATATTTGATAAAAATTATATAAATATAAATCATATATATTTGATAAAAATAAAAAATCATCTTAATGTTTCGAATTGTAGGTTTTTTTTTTTTTTTTTCTTTAAGTAGAAGAAACAAAGGGTTTTTACAACTGCAACGATTTTGGCACAATTTTTTGTAGTAATACTTTACAATTACTCTAATGTTATGCTACTAATTGAAATCAATGGTCCGATAGGTGTGATCATGTCAAACACATTTATTGTATTGCAAGCAGTCAATTGGGGTGAACTGCGGTGCTAAATGTACTATTTTATTAGTTGAATTAAAATTACTCTTAGCAGCCAATAGAAATGAATCATATAGATCTATTCTTTCAATATATAATTACATATGGAAAGCAGAAATGCCTGGAAAAGAGATTAATAATGTAATAAGTAGTGCTTTATTTAAGGTAGAGTTATTTGAAGAGCACATTAAAAGTATTCATCCTTTAATCATGAAGTTTAAGATTTTTTTAATAAAAAAATTCACAACCTGATGATAGAGCAAAAAATTATAAATATTTTAATTTTAATTTATATAATTATTTTTTAAAAATAATTATATAAATTATTTGAATTAAATTCTAAATTCCCAATTTAAATGTTATTAACTTTATACCCATACAATTCCTACACTAGAACATGCATCGGATATTGATTGTCCAATAATGATTTTGTACTTTAATGGTTTTGCCAGCGTCATATCTTTTTGTCCTGTTTGACAAAATGTGCATGTTACATCATCTTCTTTTTTTTGGGTCCAATTGTTCTTTTTGGCATTGGACTTATGAAAGCAATAACACAATAACAAAAAATAAATCATTTCTAAATCTTATATAAATTCAATTAATTGAGGCACATATAGTTCGCCTCTTGGTGCTAATTTTAAATGTCACCGACGTTTTATTGAAGAACTTGTGCCTAAATTATTCCAAAAAAAAAAAAAGAACAGAAAAATAAAGCCTGTGCACAATAATCAACAATTTGTGTTTTTTAAAATTAAAACAAAAAATAAGAAGACTTTGCCATTTTCTTGAATAAGCCGGGCACCGCCAATTATTATTTTATGGCACGTTTTCGTTTTTTGACTTTACTTTTTTTCAGAGTCATGTTCCATATCATAACCTTCGTATATTCTGTCATTTTGAAGGAGGGTTTCGTCCATGTCTGCTTGGAGACGGGCTTTGAAATTGCTTATCCAGCCATACAGCATCTCAACCACTCTATATTTTGACTTGTCCATGGCATTTCATGCACAAACTTGGCCCAACGAAGGGAAGCCACAAAAAAAAAATTTTTACAAGTGGGAATAAAGAACGATAAATTTAATGTCAAAAGAGGAATCTTTAGAGCAATAATTTGAAGCTTTAACCCAGCCTGTGATGTTGGTGGTGTGGAAAAGTCTTTGTCGAAAATTGAAGAGAACACTATAAAAGGGCTTTGCAACAAGGATATTAGGCAAGTGAAACAACATTAGTCCTCAGGTTCATCTTCTGGCAATAAAGTTTAAGTGCTAGAATAAAATGGTTACCCCCGGACAGCGGGGGCTATGGCCTCATCTGATTTATGCAGTTGCTTTCTGCCTTATCGCCACTACTGTTGTAGCTGATTACCAACCTTATGAGTTCACTTTACCCCCGCCAGAGAAGCAGCTATGGCTTCCACTCGACCATTCCAAATCACCACCACATTTTAAGAAAATTTGGCATCCACCTCCGGATCATTATCTCTCTCCTTATGTCTACAAGTCTCCACCACCTCCTTATATTTACAAATCTCCACCACCACCTCCATATGTCTACAAGTCTCCACCACCACCATCACCCTCTCCACCTCCTCCATATGTCTATATGTCTCCACCACCTCCATCTCCATCACCTCCTCTTCCTTACATTTACAAGTCTCCACCACCTCCATCTCTATCTCCACGACCTCCTTATGTTTACAAATCTCCACCACCACCACCACCTCCATACGTCTACAAGTCTCCACCACCACCATCACCCTATCCACCTCCTCCATATGTCTATAAGTCTCAACCACCTCCATCTTCATCACCTCCCCCATTTTACATTTACAAGTCTCCACCACCACCATCACCTTCACCACCTCCTCCATATGTATACAAGTCTCCACCACCACCACCACCATCACCCTTTCCACCTCTTCCTTATGTTTATAAGTCTCCACCACCACCATCACCGTCACCATCACCTTCTCCTCCTTACATTTACAAGTCTCCACCTCCACCATCACCCTTTCCACCACCTCCATATGTGTACAAGTATCCACCACCACCATCACCCTCTCCACCTCCTCCATATGTCTATAAGTCTCCACCACCACCATCACCCTTACCACCTCCTCCATATGTGTACAATTCACCACCACCTCTGTCTCCATCTCCACCACCTCTTTATATTTATAAGTCTCCACCACCACCATCACCTTCACCACCACCTCCATATGTCTACAAGTCTCCACCACCACCATCACCCTCTCCACCTCCTCCATATGTTTATAAGTCTCCACCACCTTCATCTCCATCACCTCCTCCTCTTTACCTTTACAAGTCTCCACCAGCACCATCACCCTCACCATCTCCTCCATATGTGTACAAGTCTCCACCACCTCCATCTCCATCTCCACCACCTCCTTACATTTACAAATCTCCACCACCACCGTCACCTTCACCACCTCTTTCATACATGTACAAGTCCCCTTCACCTCCATACTATTATAAATGACCTTTTTTTCCCTATTTGTTTGAGTTTCCAATACCTCTGTCTCATTATGGAAATCCTTCGTACCATTATAAATCACCTTCTCCACCATCCAAGTCTCCTCCTCATTATTACAAGTCACTACCACCTCCTAAAGGCTACTAAGCATGTGGTTATCGGTTGATTTAGTTAATTTCAATTCAAGCAAGAGTAATTGATTCTTCATTAAATAATTTACGAATTTGTTGATTGCATTTTTCTGAATAATGAAGGGTTTAAGAACCTTTTTGAAATTTATATGTATAAGATATTTATTGTATCATTTGTTGTAATCAATGAAAATGAGTAATTTCATTTTGAAAAGAATTTTATTATTATTCTAAATATGGCATAAAGCTATCGAAATGAAAAAAAAAAGTTCTTTATTTATAATCGAAATATTACTTGGTAATATTTGTTATAAATTTAGACATGGCAATTGTACGGTCGAATTGGTCAAGTCATTAAGGAAAGAATATGAAGTAGAGAAAGAGAAGCTGAAATAAAAAATTTTGAAGCTTCAAGGAAAAAAAATCAGTGGCAGAACAAAGCAAAAAAATTAGAAATCCAAGCCCATAAGATTTTCAAGGAATACAATAAGGCCTAAAAAGTTATCAGAGAACAAGATGATGCCCTTAAAGAATTAAAAGAGCTGTAACAAGAACATAAAAGGTTACGCATATAGGTACGAGCCAAGAAAATAAACAACACAGATCTGGCTCATGAGAATGAAGAATTAAAAAAAGAATATGCACAAATAAAAGATGATTTTGAGGAAGTTGAACAGGAAAATAAAATGCTTACAAACTATATTTGGACTCTAAGGGTGAAGTTAGAGCAAAAAAGAGATCGTGTCAGAACTTTTATAAAGAAACACAAAGAATTATCCTATCAGGTGTGTTATGATAAGAGAGAAAGTTTATGAAGACAAAGATACATAGAGCAACTCACAGCTCAGATAGGCAAGGTTGTGATCGAGATAGGTGAGATGGCAAAAAAGGTTGAGTCACTAAGAACTTTGGTTACACCAACAAGGGAGCATGGACAGAGGCTACTAAACTTCATTGAAAAAGCTAAGGATTAGCATGAGTAAGTTAAGCATTTTTATAGAGGGATAGTATTAAATTTGGCGTAAAATAGACTCTTATAGAATAAATGAAAGTTCATTTTTGTTGAATTTTTAAAGGACAAATATTTTATTTTTATTTTTTTTCATGCATTTGCATTACATTCATTTATTCATTATCATAACATCATCATTGAAACTTTAATTGTGGTACTAAGGTGTAAGAATAGCTACACATCTATACAATACTTGAGCTAAAGCCAAGAAAATGGAGTAAGACAATACAAGTCAACTTGAAAGGATAGAAAAGGTTTAAAAGGCACTGGAAGGAAAGTTGAGCAAGTTTTTAGATGCCCTAGAAAAAACAAATAGAGAAAAAAAATAGAGGGAGATGCTTTACTAGAACCTATTGTATCAACGTACCCTCTAGGTTTTAGTCTACAACAGACTCAAACTCTTTAATATTTCAACCTCAACAGATAGCTTTTTCAAAATACAATTACTCGAGGATGACTTATGCACCCAATCTTGAGCATTCCCAAAGTTATGACAATCCTATTTATGATAAAAAGGTAGTTGAACCCATTCAACTCCCTACTATGAATGAGGCAAAGGAGAAAGAAAAGTTATAGACAATTGTGCCCTTAAAAGGTTCTAAAACTGATCAGACCATGAATAGGCTTGAAAAAAGATTGAGGGCTATAGAAAGAATTGATTTCTATGGATTCATGGATGCAGTGGGGCTTTGCCTGGTACCTGATGTGGTGGTGCCACCCAAATTCAAAGTGCCAAAATTCAAAAAGTATGATGGCACTAAGTGTCCTATCATGCATATTATAATGTATTGTCATAAGATGGTGACACATGCCAGTAATGAGAAGCTGGTCATGTATGTGTTTTAGGATAGTTTAATTAAGTCTACAGTAAGATGATATGTCTATTTGGATGAGACTCGAATAAAGACGTGGAAAGATCTAACCCGATCCTTTATCAAACAGTATTGCCATATTATCAACATGGCCTCGGACTGCCTTTCTTTGCAAGCAATGGAAAAGAAAGCATCCGAATCTTTCAAGTAATATGCCCAAAGATGGTGAGATGTAGTTGTTCAAGTATAACCTTTTTTGACAAAAAAAGAAACTATATTTTTGTTTGTGAGCACCTTAAAGTCACTATACTATGAAAGAATGATAAGAAATGTGACTAAAAATTTTACTGATATAGTAATTTTGAGAGAAATCATCGAAAACGCCATTAAAAATGGTAAAATTGAAAGAGCTGAATCTTGCAAAAGAACATTTAAAAAAAAAGAGAGTGAAACTTAAGCTGTGAGTCTTGAGGGATAGCAATTCAAAAGTTATTCTCGGTCAACCTACCCTGCATACCATCATACTATAAACCATACTTCTGCTTCCCCTTACCAATTAACTATCTGACCAAATTATCCATCCTTACTACAATCACTTACTTACCCAGTCAACACAACAAGCAATGCTCGAGAACCACGAATAAGGGAAAAATCCACCTTTGATCCTATACCCATAAGCTATATAGAACTATATTAAAAACTTTATATCTCATTCTTACAAAATAGCCTGAACTTTCTTATCCCTTCAAATGGTATGACATCACCACTCATTGTGACTACCATTATATAGTAATGGCACATTCTACTGAAAATTACCTTTTTTTAGAATAAAAAGTGCAACATTTGATTGAAAAAGGGCTAATAAGTTTCGATACCAATGGGAGCTTAGCATCTAATGTTAGTGGGAATCCTTTACCTGGTCATACAGTCAATGCCCTGGACAAAGATAAAAAGCATATAAAAAGAAAGGTAAAAGAGATTAAAATGTCATTTAACCAGCTATATAATGTCTTATATGAAATCGAGTTGATACAACCAATAACCTTATACACTTATACGAGAAGATGCATCCCTAATCAAAAGTGTAAGTATCATAGTGGAACTCTATGATATTCTATTGAGAAATGTTGGTAATTTTATTAAAATGTGCAAAACTTAATAGACTTTTACCAAATAGAGTTATATAAGAAGTCAAGAGCCTCGAAATATTTTAGGGTGGCTATGATAGACAGATAAGTGCCAAAGCCTATCATTATACGCTGTAAAGAGAAGCCACAATTAGTTAAGAATAAGTTTGTTCCTAAACCAAGTAGCCTTCAAGGTTTCACGCCCATTTTCCTACAAAGATGAAAAAGTGATACACTAGAGGTGTAGGTGTGAAGTGACAACTTAATGGCAACAAAAAGGTATGTTGGAAGTTAAAACTGCCAATATAACGGGTGTAAAAGGCATAATTAGAAGTGAAAAATGTTATACTTTGGCGACTTTGGAAAAAAAAGAGAAGCAAATTGAACTAGAGATTTCAAAGAAAGATGCCTCAAGGTTTGTGCCTGAAAAAGAGGCTTGTGAGTTTTTAAAACTGGTAAAGCATAGTGAATACTCTATGGTGAAATAATTGAATAAGATGCCAGCAAAATTTCTCTATTCTCACTTATTCTGAATTTGAAACCGTATCGTAATGCCTTGTTAAATGTGCTGAATCAAGCTTATGTGGCCTACAACGTGTCTATAGACTAAGTAAATCACTTGGCAAAAAACTCAGTGGTGTCACATCATATTTCTTTTAGCTATGATGAGATTTTGCCTAAAGATGGAATGAGCACCAAGGCATTGCACATCATATAAGAGCTAAGTTCTTTATTGATAATGGATCAGCTATTAATGTTATACCTACGTCCACTTTGGCTAAGTTACCTTTTGATATGTCCCATATCCAAGACAGTCAAATATGGTTCGAGCATTTGATGGGAGTAGGTGAGAAGTCTTGAGAGATGTTGAGCTGCCTATACAGATTGGACCATGTGTCTTCAATATAAAATTTCAAATCATGAATATCTTTTCATAATATGGTTGCTTATTGGAAAGGCTATGGATCCACAAAATAGGTGCCCTTCTTTTCTCACTACATCAAAAGATCAAATTTAATGTGGAAGGACAATTGGTGATTGTGGTTGGGGAAGAAGACTTATTGGTGACCCAACCCATAAATGCCTCATATGTAAAAGTGGTGGAAGAATCACTAGAATGCTCTTATTGATCTTTTGAACCCGTTAATGCAGTAGGTGAAGGGTTCAAATTTAGCAAAATTATGATTAATCAGATGGTTAATAAAGGTTAGAGTGTTAGGTTTGATTTGGGTAAAAATCTTTAAGAGATGAGAGAGTTTTCAAAACTTAAAGACAATAATGGTAGAGCAGAACTGGGTTATGAGATAGAAGAAGTACCAAACAACAGTAAGAGGGTAAATAATGGATTGATGGTTGTTTCTCATTTAAATAAAACTTTCATTCCTAGAGGATATATGTACCCAGAAGCTGAGGAAGACATAAAAAAAAAAGCAAGATGCGAATAAGCTTTTGCCTAGTTTTCTATTCATATGGTGGATAATGAAAGGCAATGTAAAGAAGCTTTGGTTTATCTATGCCCACTCGACTATAAGCTAAAGAATTATAGGGTCATCTAGATGCCTATTGGTTCTAATCTTTTCTCAATATAATCACATATTCTAACTGCTTAAGCCTAAAAGCATTAAGATGAACTCTTATGTTTGGGCTTTTTATTTTTCATTATCTCAATAAAAGTAGGAGCATGCATTTTGTCCATTCCTTTTATTTCATTCATTATTCCATCAAAGTTTCTTGCCAATATTTCCTATCTCATTAACTTTCAGGTCCCCAAGTTAACATGAAGATAATCATGATAATAATCCAGGTTTAATTTTAAAAATTTAATTAATATTGATGAACTTGATACTGAAGAGGATTTTGAGGAATACATTTTGTCTCCAAATTCAATGAGGCTAATTGAGCAAGAAGATAAATCCATTGAGCCTCATCAAAAAGTTGTTGAAATGATTAATCTAGGTGATGATGAAAGCATAAAAGAAGTCAAGGTTGGCACTTCACTTCCAATAGTGGATTGGCAATGGTTAAAAGTTTTGCTTATAGAGTTTGTGGATGTGTTTGCCTAGTC